CGTATTCAAGGAACAAACCTGTCAAGCTATATAGACATAGACAGGTTAAAACGTAACTTTCATTCAGATGACAGCTAAAACTCCATGACTATGACAGGGAGGATGGGGATGGAATTAACCTTGGGGTGAGATTAATGATAATCCAAACATTTTTTATTAAGAGATAATGAATGGTAAAAATGTCCATACCAATGTTGAGGTTAGAAAATACGCATGCTAATTGCGTTGTCTATGGACAATTATATTGTAAAAACACAATGGATCTTGAAATGGATAAAAATTGATAAAAAAATGAATAAAAATTAATAAAACATAATGTGGTCATATTTAATAAAAAATCATAGGTGGGTATCATATGGTAACGCTGGTTTGGAACATCCAAAAATCCAGTGTGTGTCTATGTGTATGTGGGTGCACACACTTCCATGCAACCATAACCTTGTGCGGACCTGAACGCACAAACAGGTACGCATATGTGTGCGCAGCCTTACCAAGGCACATGGGTGCATACCCCATATACACGTGTGGTGACCACTGTGTCAATGTATGGAATGGGCCAACATCAGTAGCCCCCCACGTGTGCTGATACCAGAGGTTGAACACAACTCATAAGATAGTATGGATTTCTATCTCCTCATTTAAACCAGTGGGTACTAGTGTGTTTAGTTTATATATCCAAAAGGTTTCTCTCTTGCACAAAAGACGAAACCGTTCGGAGGATGCTAGTTGGGTGGATATATGTTCGATGGCGAAAACGTGCAAGGCTTGTGTGTTCTTATATTGTTTCATAGTAAAATGTCAGGGGACACCTTCCGCAAGAGCCACTGGAGATTTTTAAAAAGAAGCTTGACACCCTCATTGAACCGGCATTCATTGGCAGCATCATCTCCAAGAAATAAAAATCCTTTCTGCAACCTAAATTTCCCAGCACTCCCTACTTCTCTATCACCTACCTAAAATACATAAAGATAGCATTAACCCCCCAGGACGTCCGATGATAGCCAGTACCAACAGTCTCACCAGCGGTTTATCAATTTATATAGACCAATTTCTTCAGCCAATGGTTACAGCTCTCCCATCCTACATAAAAGATTCCGGTCATCTCATCCAGATCCTATCCACTTACAGGTGGCACCCCACATATTGTTGGGTATCTTTGGACGTTTGTTCATTATATACCTCCATCCCTCATTAGGTAGGACTAAATGCCCTTTTGTTTTTTCTTTCGAACACCCAAGCACAGTTCATTATGAACAGTACTGAATTCACGCTCAACCACAATTACTTCTCTTTCCTGGATAAATTTTATCTGCAGACAAAAGGGACAGGGACGGGAGCAAATTATGCTCCTAGTTACGCCAATCTAACCATGGGTTTTGGGGAAACATTCAACATATGGAAGAACAACCCACATGCCAGTAAGATAGTTTTTTATGGGAGATATATCGATGACATAGTCATCATCTGCGATGGTCCCCCAGAGAGTGTTGCAGAATTAGTATCCCATTGTAACAATAATAACTTAGGCCTCACTTTCACCCATGTTGTCAGCCCCACGAGTTGTTTTTTCTCGACCTAGAACTCACAACAATCGAGAACAACATCATCACCAGAAACAATGTAAAGCCTCCCGGCGGCAATTCATATCTCCACTACCATAGTTGCCACCATCCAAAAATAACATTCCAAAAAGCCAGTTTTGCTGGCTAAAAAGGAACTGCACCAACAATTCAGATTATACCACCTCCAGTCTTTTGCTTTCAAAACGATTATCTGAGAAATCCTATCCTGCACATCTTATTACGGATGTATAATCGCAATATCTCACATCTGATGAACCTAGAATCGACAAGAATGACCGACCCCAAAGCCAAAGCAACCATGCTAGGTTTATCACCACCTTTAACAATAAATACAAAGCCAAACAGAGGGTGATTTATAACAACTGGCACATTCTTCTGAGGGACCCGAAATTAGGCCCCCTGTTACCATCCAAACCATCCATCAATTTCAGGAAGAATAAAAACATTAAGAACCTAGTGGCGCCCAGTAAATGACTCAGTAAAATAGCAAAAAGTTTTCCTGGCACACTTACAAGCTAGCATGTAAAAAAACTTGACTCACACTAAGGTTAAAACATAGGTTTGGATACACGTCTTCTGCAGAAAATGTGAAAGCCGCGCCAAGGCACCTCTTATAGTGCGGTCCTAACTCTAAACTATCAGTTACAGTTTTGGTCTGAGACGGGAAACGGGCACGGTGAGAGGTTGCAAGGAGTGCATAGGTGAGAGAACACAAGATCTAGAATGTTAAGTAGGAGTGTGTGTCCAATGTGTTAGGTCCAAAAAATAGGTTAGGTTGAGTGGTAGTCGGGGTGTTAATGTTAGTAGCAATGTTGAAGTTTCCCAAAATGATAGTGGGTATTTCAGAGGAGAGAAAGAAGGATTCCCACTCCAGTGGGTAAGTGCATCCAGTAGAGGGCGGCAGGGAAGGCAGAGTCAGATTCCTGAAGCTAGGTTTCAGTAACAGCAAGCATGTTGAAAGAATTGGAGATAAGAAGATCATGCACAGTGGTGAGCTTGTTACAGACAGAGTGGGCATTCCAGAGGGCACATGAGAAGGGATGACTGGCTCTAGGAAGCAGGGGAATATAAATCAGGGTGTGTGGATTGTGGCTGCTGCCAGAGGAGAGGCAGTGCTGGTGTGGGGGGTGACTATTAGAAAACAGAGGGCCAGGATTGGGAGGAATATCCCCAGACGTCAGGAGAAGCAGAAGGGTGATTGAAGTGACATAAGAGCGAGTTTTATATGAGCGCACATGCCCCAGTGTCCCGGAGGTAACCCTAGCATGTGAGTTCAGAATGAGCAGAAGATGATGAGTGCAGTAATAGGGAGAGGGCAGGAGAGAGGGGGAAATATATAATCTGTACGGTGGAGAGGGGGAGGGGGGGGGGGGTAAAGGAAAGACAGTTTAAGAAGAGAAGACACAATTGTGAAAAGCAATGGTAGAGAAAAAATGTTAAGTAATGGAGAGTAGAAATCAGATTTGGAAGAAAAAGAGGTGGATGGGGAAAATAGGATCATCTGCAGTCTGTCAGGAGCACTGTCAATATATTTTTGTCTCTCTCCCAAGTGTGTTTTCTAAGGGCGTCGATGATGATGATGATGACACTTAATTTCAAATCGACACTCTGTTTCAAATAGACATTGCTATCCCAGCAATACATTGTAAAGCACTGCAGAATAATATGAAGCTACATACTCTGTGTTGCTCCGGGTTCGCGACCTGATGTCTCCAGGGTCTCAGGAGAGCTGTGCAGGGAATTTAGGGGGGTCTGTGCAGGCTCTCATGAGGCTGTTCAGGTTTATAGGTTGTCCAAGGCTGGGTGACACCCGGAGCGGTGTCCGAGTGTCACCCCGCCTAGACGTCACTGCGCATGCGCGATGACGTCATCACGCACGCGAGGCAGTTTTCTAATACCACCGGGGGCAATCTTGGAGATGGACGCCGGCAGAGAAGGAGGAGACAGTCACCCGGCAGCCGGGTCCCCTCCTTTCTCCTGATACTGTTGGGCGTTCGGTCCATGCCCGACTTTTCAGAGGGGGGTGACACCAAAATGACTTGCAGTCATTTTGGTGTCACCCCTCCAATCGTGTCACCCGGTTGCGGGCCGCACCCCCCTTGTGACGCCACTGGTCCCTATCACATATACATACATACAGGGCCAATTTATACAGGAGCCAATTAACCTTCCAGCATGTCTTTGCAGTGTGGAAGGAAACCGGTGTACCTGGAGCAAACCCACGCAAGCAGAGGGAGAACATGCAAACTCCTTGCAGAAAGTGACCTGGCTGGGATTTGCCCACCCCTGCCTTATAAGACCACATGGCCATACTAGGTCAAGGTCATTGACCAAATATAGCCAAATGGCCATACAAGGTCAATGACATCACAGCTACGGATGGAGAATTCCCCTGTGGCAGCGGAAGGAGCTTTATTCCCTGTGCAGAGGAGCTCAGGTTTGGTCCAAACTTGAGCACATGCCTGGTGTCCCTGCTCCTGCAGCCTTCTGGGATATGTGACGGGGATATCCCTGGAAGATGCAGCCGCGACCAAAGTTAAAAAACACAAACCTGAGCCAAAAGAAATGTCCTTGCAGAGGGGGAAGGGTTGCAGTAGGGGGAAAAGCCTGTTTTTGGAGAGAAGGTCCGCTTTAATATAAAAGCAATAAAGAAATCAAGCTAGCTGTGCTTAATCCGGACACGCTGAGCCATATTTGAGGATCTCCATCACCTACAATATTGTCCCAGCCCAGGTGTCTGTCTGTATTTATATGTGGGAATAGAGAAATCCCTCTCATAGATAATAAAGCTGGCCCTTGCACAAGGCCTGTACTGTATTGCTTCTGGCCAAGGCTCAGATAGATGTATGGAAGGGAGGCATGTGAAGAAAATCAGCAAGAAAGGCTCCCATCAGTACCACAACCTTTCATCACATCCTCAAGCTGCAATTTTATCCTGAGGCTTCCAGGAAACCTGTGGTTTACCTCATGCATGATATAACAAATGTACTATTACACCATCACCACTGGCTTTCTTGTTCACCCAGCATTTCCTCCATCCCGACCATTTCACTAGTCTTCCTTTTCACCACATCAAAACCCCCTTCATCGTAAGCTAATTGAGCAAGTTGAGGCTTCCCATGCAGTGACTGAGCCTCCCTCCCTCCCTGTGATACCTCTCTATGCAGCCCACGGGTTCGTGCACAATGCTGAGGAGTCACCCGGGGAGCTGATCGCCGACAAATGACATGTCCCTGAATGATTAATCACTGAGTGCAGCGCCACACATCAAGGAATGGGGGTGAACGACGCAAGACCAGCTGAGAAACTGCTGCGTGTGGAAGTTTAGAGGAGAGAGCCGAGCTGAATGTGTGTGGACGAGCTGTAACCAGCCTGGGCTTTTCACTGACAAGAAGAAGAAGGACGAACGAGCTGCTACTGAGGAGCCGGGCTGCGAACAATGCTGTAAAACACACGGCGAGGAGACACACAAGGTGAGCGCCTCACAAACATGTCTGCGTTCAATCTGCCTCATATCACTGTATGAATAGGGGGGCCGTGATGCCATCTCCGTTCAGGGAACTGGTGCTGCCAACGAGTCAGCATTTTCATGAAGACAATTCAGTGAAGGAGTCATGTTCCAGCAGCTCAGTGTATGAGGGGGATATAATAATGACATTGAAATGAACCAGAAGAAGACACCCATTCAATGCACTCTAAGCTGTTCCCAGTTCTGGGGGCAAATTCCCATTTCTGACATGCAAACTGGCGAATTCCAGTGAGCCCCCCTGAAATGGAAGCGGGGCTAGCTTGGGATGCCTGCTTCTGGTTTATTCCAATCTATTTACCTGCAGCTCTGCTCTTGACATGCGTTTAATAGCAAGGGGCACCATGCCCCGTTCTAGAAATCACGGTCGGCGACGAGCAGAGCTGCACTAACCTTGAGCTGCTGGAAGTTCACATCATGTGCTCCGCGTAGTGATCACCTTGCCCTTCCCTTTTAGATTGTAAGCTCCCACGAGCAGGGCCCTTCTAAACCCTTCCCCCCTGTATCTAACTGTACTGTCTGCCTTTATTTCATAAAGCGATGCACAAACTGAAGGTGCCATATAAATCCTGTATAATAATGAACATTGACTTACTACTAAATTATAATTCAAAGGGAAAGCCTTTGCTACTTTATTATAATGTTCTAATAACAAGAATTCAAAGGTAAACCCTCTCCTAGTTTATTATAATGTGCTAGTAATAAGAATTCAAAGGTAAACCCTCTCCTACTTTATTATAATCTACTAGTAATAAAAATTCAAAGGTAAACCCTCTCCTAGTTTATTATAATGTCCTAGTAATAAGAATTCAATGGTAAAGCCTTTGCTATTTTAGATGCGCTGTTTGTGCTCAGTCTCCCAAGTCAACTCGTTTTATTTTCATATTGAGGGAGAAAAAATGTGTGTGTGTGTATATATATATATATATATATAATATATATATATATATATATGTATGTATATATATATACATACATACATACATACATGCATTCATATGTAAAGAGCTGCACAAACTGCTGGTGCCATATAAAATCCTGTATGATAATGTGCAAAGAGAGCCCTGTGCTTACTTAGAGCCATGTGTAATGCTCCTATGAGAAGAACACTGTACTTCCATCGTGGAAGGATGACATTGTTTGCCAAGTCCTCGCTTCATGCTCACGCCGTTTCTGCAGTGCAACGTCAAAGCAGCGAGCAGATGAACTGAACGAAATTGGAAGAGCGCACGACAGCTTTTGCAGCACGAATGTTGCAGCTGCATGGAACCTTGCTAGATGCAGATGAGCGCATGGCGTCACGCTGCTGTTCTGTTTATCCTGATTCTGTGGGATTTATTAGCATTAGATGGCTTTATTTGTTAATGTGATAAGAGAGTCGTGGCTATTTAGCTGGCTTGCTGCTCCTGGCAGGCAGAAGATGCGGCGTGCGCTGCAGTGCGCGTTCATTTATTGAGGCATCATCTACACACCAGAAGAGCAGAGCCCAGGAAGACCTCAATGACTCACATGACATAACATTAGCACAGCATGAATCATTATCCTTTATTAAATTTCCTCTTGTGTACCGAGTCCAGAAGGATTTTTGGTTTCATCTACGGGAGCAGCTCACGATGAAATGGGAATGCCATTCCTGTTGTACTGTCAGTATGATTAGGTTTCCTATAGGAATAGGAAGTGACTCATGTGGACAGATATTGGTAGAGATGACAGTCTCTAACCATGTTGCCTATTTATAAAGGCGACAAAAAGTAAAGGTCTTGTTTATCCCTTTTTTTATTATTATTTATATTTCTTTCTTTTCCACGCACCTTTTTGCATTCTGCCATATTATTTTCATAGTCAAATCCATTTTGTAATGCATCTTGATCAGCTTATGTGTGGATGAAAACAGTATTCGATTATTTTTTGTCTGCCTAACTTGTAGACCAGATATAATGAGGTTCCAATGTGTTATGTTCAATACACGCATGCTAGGTTTATTGTCTGTGCTGCTTCTGTAGAAGAGCAGTATTGCATATTCTTTTTTATTTTCATATCTGTTTTGACTAAGATGAAAAGAATGCATGGCAATGCACCTATTCATTGTGAATGGAACGCCCACACATTTGAATGCACCACAGCACACCACAACACATGTACAGTGTGTAGTGGTGCACTACATTGCTAAAAAAAAAAGGGCCATGCACATTTTTTCATCTGTTGTGGAGCGTTGGCATCACATTCCTGAAAAATGGGCAGCCTTAACGCACACGTAACCATAAGGCGCGTTAATTTGTGTGCATTAACGTGCAGCAATGGACACTGAATGGCCGCTGCATGTTCTTTTACTGCTTGCTCAGAATATGTAAATGCTTTAGTGGTCATGATCTGTGTGCAGGTTCACTTTCAAGTATTTTACAGACTTTCACATGAAAAAAAAGGAATATGAAACCAGTGCAAATCTATGAATTGTAGAGATTTGTGATTAATGGAGCGGTGTAGAATAATTATTTTGCCTATTTTTAAAAAAAAATAAATTCATTATTTTGAATTTTTCATATAAACAACCGACACACTCAAAATACAGATAGAAGACAAATAGAAACAGACAAAAAAAAACATACATTAGAAGCAAATCTTGAGATCCTCATCCGAAGTAGGGCACATACAACCCAAAAAGGACTAACAGTACAATATCACGGGTAAAGAATGCAGAATAGTGGAGTACAGTGATGCGTGATGGATAATTCAAAGCACTCGTAATCAGTATCCTATTTAGGGATTGGCAATCCACTGAAAGACACAACCGCTCTCCAGCAGTCAGCCCCTACACACTCCAAGGGTGAGGTAAAAAGATAGCTAGGAAGATAAGATAAAGGGAAGAGGAAGGAGAGGTATGGTAGGGAGGAAGGGAAAACCACCAGGCTTGAGAAATCCAGACCAGCACACATAACACCAAAAAACAACAAAACGGGGACAGTAAATGGGACAAGAAAGGAGACAATGTGTTGGATACAGACCCAGGCAAAGACATAAGACATAGACAAAAGTGTGGACAAGGGCATGAACCTATGGCATACAGGGAACTCACTCCGCCATTTGCCTAATTTTTTAACAACTGCTAAGGTATCAGATGAGTGTTTTTTTAACCTTCCTTGTACTTAAAAATCCATATTAAACAGACACTGTCAACCTGCCCAATGCAAAATGTTCCGACCCCAATATACTCAACTTGCCTACCTCCCTCACGCTCCTTATTCTATCACAGCCAGTGACACTTTACAACAGTTCCAGATATGAGGGTACATGTGAACTGCTCTCGTGACAGTGCTTGGGTCTAGTAGCCTATCGCTAGGCCCGAGCACCAACACATAATGTCACCTAATCAAAGGAGTGAGGCTGCTGTTTCCCCCGAGGCACATGAAGAAATGAAAATGTTAAAACTACACTCATAGGTAAATGACATAGCATATGATGTGTAGGAGTCAGGACTCACCATATAGAGTGCACCTGCCAGGGCAATGTAATATATGACATAGTATAAAGAGTGCAGTGTCAGGACGATATGCCTATGACAGTTTAATAAGTGTAGGAGTCAGGATTATGTAATGCAGGAGCTCCCACAATTTTTCGTCTGGAGATCTACTTTTCAAATGACGAGCTCAATGAGATCTACCAACGAAAAAACACCTGCATTCAGGGGCGGGAGGGGGCATGGCTGTGCATTGAAGTCAATGGCAACACAGCCACTCCCCCACTCTCAGTGCGATCGCCCGCACCCGAAACGCAGGCACATTAGTGCCTGCGTTCCGGTCCAGTTCGATCTGCAAAAATGCTGCAAGCACTATCAGTGCCTGCGTTCCAGGTGCGGGCGATTGCACTGTGGTGGGGGGCGTGGCTGCGGTGCCATTGACTTCAATACAACCCCACGCCCCGGAACGGAGGTTGCCGGCGTGCTTGCATTCCAGTACGTTCTAGAGGCCGAACAATCTGGAACGCAGACTTTGTGGTGTGAACCGGCCCTCTCACTTGGCTGTCTCTTCTCTCTCTCCTTCGCTCTCTCCCCTGTTTCTATCTGCTGTCTCTTCTCTCTCTCTCTCTCTCTCTCTCTCTGCGGCGTCCTGCCCTCCCACAGTGCTCATGTGTCGCCGAATGTGGCCGACGTTGCACACGGGGAGAGGTGTCCCACCCCTTCCCGTCTGCAGTGTTTGACACATTCAGCCGCACGAGCACCGTTGGAGCAGAGCCGTAGCTAGCTCCTTTTGCGCCCGAGGCAAGAAAAAAAAACCGTGCCCCCCCCCCCCAACGGGCGTGTGGCGTCACCCAGCGCCCCGCCTCCAGGATGTGTGTTTTTTTTTTACTGTTGGTGGGTCTTTGTGGAAATATTAGGGGTCTAAACAGCCCCCTGATATTTCCCTTTTTGAAATAGAAAAAGAAATTTAGGACACAAAGTCCTCTATCACTTTTTCTGCAGCATCTGTTATTATTATTATTATAATACAGGATTTATATAGCGCCAAGACTTTACAATATAAGGAAGACATTACAATTACAATACAATTCAAGACAAGATGGTAAGGAGGGCCCTGCCCCTGAGGGCTTATAATCTAAAAGGGAGGGGGAAGTGATACATGAGGAGGTAGCTGTGTGGGGATGAATTGTTTGAGAAATTGATATTTCAGTGGTTAGGTTAAGGTCGGATAAGCTTCCGTGAAGAGATGAGTCTTAAGGGGTGGGAACACCATAAGCTCAGTTTTTGATAGATTGAGCGTTAAGAAATGTTGTTACATCCAGACGGATATGTCAGTTAGTAAGTTAGTGATACCTAAGGAGACTGAAGCGGTGAGTTGCGGAGTAGAGAGATATATTTGAGTGTCATCAGCATAGAGGTGATACTGGAAGCCATGTGATGTGATCAACTGACCAAGAGAGGAGGTTTAGATAGAGAAGAGAAGGGGTCCAAGG